TGTTCTTTGTAGTGACAGTGATTCGGATAGGATCACAATAATAACTCAATTCAATGAAGTACATTCTGCTATGAAATTCACATGCGAAGAGGAATCCTAAAATAGAAGCAACTACCTTCCTAGATGTCCTCCTTATAAGAAAACTAGATGGTAGTATAAAAAGAAATTTGTATAGGAAAAGTACATGGACAGTAAGATATACACATTATCAAAGCTTCTTTACTCTCCAGTATAAAAGAAATTTAGTAAAGACCTTCAACCACAGGGTTAGATCTATAAGACAAGAAGAGGTAGTTGAAGATGAACTAAGGATTATGTACGGTACCTTGATTGAAAATAGCTGTCCCGACAAATTTACCAGGAAACACATGACAAAGAAAGCGGAAAAGGACTACTCACTATCCGTAAACAAGAAGAATTTATACACACGACTGCCGTTCGAGGGTGGCATACCCGGCGAACTAATAACGAAGAAATTAAGAAAATCATTTCAAAGAACTCTTAATGCTAGTAAACTACAAGTTATATTTTCTACACAACCGATGGTGATTCCTCAATTGAAAGTCAAAGTACCTGGACTACCCACTGCCAGTTGTATCTACTAATTCTACTGCGTCTGTGGAATGAGTTACATTGGCCGTTGATCTAGGAACTTGATTTCTCGTACTCTCTCGGGAACATCTACCAATGTGGTTAAATAAAGGTGTAGTTAGAAGCATCAACAGTTCGATATTAGACCACCTGGTCCAAACCAGCTGGCCACAAAGCCAGCATTAAAGAATCCTTCTCTGTCATCAACCGGGTGCCTAATAAATTGCCAAAATATCGAAGCACCGCATGCTCCAAACAGCCGAGACTATCACAATTCACGTGAAACAACCAGTGCTTTGTGTGCAGAAGTAACAATTCCAACTACTACTACTGCCCTGGCTGGCCTTCATTGAAGACTATAAATTCATGAATTCTGCATTATTACTACTTTTCCCAATTCACCTGTCTGCTATTCAGTGTGTACTGCTGATGTTATATTTATGCTGTCGAACTGTAATCCATCGATATTATTATTGATTCGATGTTATTTAAACAACATTAGTGTTGTTAATAACACTAATTTACTAACTAGCATGCATGTATATATAAGTGTAGAGCCTGATGATGAAGAAGGGGTTATCCAAAAGAATATTCTTTATTCAGTAATCATTCTTTTGAAAAAATTTTAATGGTCATTTTGAATCAATTGAAGTGATTGTGTTATTTGTTTGTGTGCTATATCTATTCCGAATGGTTTTAGTATTCTAGCTGTTAGTTTTCAGAAATATTCTTTATAAGTTTTTGGGTGAATTTTCTTGTAGTTATTGAGGACGTTTTCCTTCTTGGGAGTTTGAATGAAGTTTAGAAACTTTTTTGATGAAATTGTAAGGGTATCTGTTTTTTTTCTCTGGATGACACTACCACGGTGTGTTTTAACTCATTCTGGTAATGTTTGTACACAGTTTCTCCTACTGTGCTGTTAGGTTATTGCTGTTACAGTTGAACATTTGATCTGCATACTTGTGTTTCTAGATCTTTTGAGTTTATCCTCCTGACTAAGACATCTGATTCTTCTTCTCTTACGAATTTGATGATTTCAAACACACACACACCTTATGACAAATATGTCGACTACAAAACGAATCCAGTTTATTTTTTGGTTTTATCATTAGTAAAGCTACGATTTCAGTCGTCTATATTTTTCCACACAAACATAGTTTACTCACTAACAAATAGTTCACCGTATAAACGACGAAAAACTATTCAACACTAGCCCCCCTTCAATTATGTAAGCCTGAAATCTAAGTTTACCACTGTCCCATGCAAGCAGTTATCGAGTGAGTAGCTTTCAACCTAAGTTTTCAGTTTGTATATCTTCACACAAACATACTATTAATGGTGGGAGTAAGTCAAGTAATCGATAGAATGATGTAAGGTACGGTTACATGAAAGTGTCAAAACTGCCTACCACTTCATCAGGCACTCAGGATAAAAAAGACAAAATAATGGGGTTTGGTTATTGTAACTATTATTATTATTATTCCAGAAGATTCCTAGTAGAACAGAGAGCACTTTGATTAGACACTAGTAACTAGTGTGATGTGTCTAGTCCATTTTTTGGTGCAGAGTGAATTCTATTAGTCAGTCAAGTTTTGCAATGTAGCTACCATCCCAGTTAGCTTGCCACTACGATGTGAATTGTTGATGTTAGATGGTTCAAGACTATTGGCCACAAGAAGCCTCACCTGACCTAGGTTTCCTGGTGGGTGGCACTCACTAGTCAGCAAGGAGTATCTACGAATCATGTCTCCCCTGAGATTTTAACCCACGTCATCCAGTACCTGAGTCAGAGACGAGCTACCTAGAATGGTGGCTACATTGCAATTCTGACTGATAGAATTCAGTCTGCACCAAGGAAAGGACTAGACACATTACACTAGTTACTGACAAGTGTCCAATCAAAAGTATCTGATACAGTCTGTTCTAAAGGAGGTCAATCGCTAGCCCGAATAGCCCAGTGGCAACGTCTCCGACTGACTGCAGCACTGAGTGACATGGGTTCGAATCTCAGAAGCGACATGAGTAACCTGAAGCTGGTTGCAGATACGCCTTGCTGACTAGTGAGTGCCAACTAACTCGAAACCTACGTGAAGTCAGGCTTCCTGTGGTCGATTTCCTCCAACCATCCAATAACAGAGGGCTTCAGCAGAATACACCTCCATTTCATCCTTTTCTCTGCCATCATATTCAACTGACTTTAAGCTCCGGTCTTCTCCTCCTCACCTGATCTCTTGAATATGACCCTCTGGCTGTCAACTCGCTGCTTTCTATTCAGATTCTACTTGTGGGCTTCTCTGGTAAGCAATGTCATCAGGCGATCTTCTTAGCCTCTTCATTCAGATGTTTACTCAACAACAGGTTCTTGATTGGTTCATCCACAGAGTTACTTGCTGCTAATTCTTTCTGGACGACCATCTGATCTTCAGTATGGAGCTAGCCAAATGGGGAAGTTGTTGATAAAAGTCTGCAACCCATTGAATGTGGTGTTCATGACTCGCTAAGTTTCTGGTTCAATTTGGATATTGGCGCTTAAAACATGAATTTTATTATCTGAGCTGAAACAGGAAAAGAATTCCACATTCATTGACGAACGAAACAAAGATGCCTTTTTTCCCTGATAACTCTATCAACCTGAACGTTGAAGTGTTTATTTACTGGCATTCTTTTTTAAATTTAGAGCTTCAACCTCTACTGAATAACATTCGAAAAAGAAGTTTCTCACTCATCAACAGAATTCATCAATATAATGGAATAAAGTCTTATCATCTTCGTAATTAGGATTCACGCGATGTTGGAAAGCATAGTAGTATACATGAATGCCAAAATATGAGGAAAACAAACTCACCAATTCCGCCTTATAAGGCTGCCTAATTCTTAGTACTGACACACAATGCACTGTCATGCACAATAGTGACATACTGTGATAGTAGTAAGTAGTTAGATTTTCTAGTAGAACTTTTGCGCGGTGCTACTTTCATACGCTGGTTTCCATGCTTTGTAAGCCCCGAAGTTCAACAATCCTAATGGAAGGTCTTAAAAAGTGACATGTAAAATCTGTTCTTTTTAACAAGGTTAGTTCAACCTTTCTTTCATTCCCTGTGTTTCAAGTGGAACGCAGGTCTTCAGGGCATGAAATGTTATCAACGATAATGCTATTTTTAAGGGATTGCATCGCTAATCTCATGCTCAGTTTTCCTCTTTTCTCAAGGCGAATTTAAGGAGTACGTCGGCTGGAAAACGAACCAAGACTACATCTGTGAATAGCAGGAATTCTACCAGTTAGTCACTCAAGGCACAAAATTGTGCCCTTCCATACTCCTGTAGACATTTGCGACTTTCAAAGCTAGGGCCTATTGCATGTAAAATGAGAGCTAATTTAGTTCATTCAGTCTATTGTTCGCCTTCATGAGTGCATGAAAAACCAACCACCCCCTGATCAAATTTGTCTTACATTATAATTGGATGGAGGACTTCATCATGAGCTGACAATAGTTAGAGAACCATTAGAAAACCTACAAGGAGCATTGGACAGTTGTTTCGTCAGCCTAGTTTGGGACTATTCACAGCGCAAACCCACTGCAAGGGTTCGAATACAGCACCTTCTGGTTATAAAGCGAACTAGCTCGTAGACCATTAAGCCACTGTGACCTGATCCAATCCAATAACCAGCCCATGATTTATAACTCCTGCGGATTGACGACGTAGCACGACCACTTCGCACTATTTTCTTAGATTAGTTACTGCCTCGCCTTTAACCTGCTGTATCCTGTGTCATGAACTGAAACAAGTTAGAATTCATGGGCTGGTCATTGGGTCGAGTTCCAGTGGCTTAATGGTCTACGAGCTGGCCCGCTGGTCTTGTAACCGGAAGTTCTCAGGTTCGAACCCCACTCTGTGGGTGCGTGCTGATGAATAGTCCGAAACAAAGCTGACGAAACAACTCTCCAGTACCCCTTGCAGGTTTTCTAATGGTTCTCTTACTTGTTTCATCTCATGCTGAAACCCTCCAACCAATCAAACACAATCCCCATAAAACCAATACTTGAAAATTACATTATTATATTATTATTATTACAGTACACAAAACATTGTGTATTTACGTGTTATATACTTGAGTTGACCGCCAATCCAAAAATCGATCGCTTCTTACTTTATTTTATTTTGATTAATTTAAACAACAAGATTTGATCAATACAATTCAACTTTCAATAGAAATAGACTACATAACTTTGTGGAAAAGTATAAAATAATCTAGAAATCTATACTTGTACAAGTGTAACATGAGATAGATTGTATAATTCCTCACATTTTAAATAGTTATATCACATGTTCCTCCTCAACCCCCTCCCCCCCAAATACGGTAAACCTAATCCATAAGATTAGGTTTCTGCATATATAAATATATATGCATATACTTTTAGATGGTGGAGAGGAAATTTACTCTTTTAGGGAGTGAACACGTTCATCACACTGACAATATCAATAATTTCAAGATTAATATTGTTATATTAATATCATTATTATTATTAATAATAAAAAATAATAGTATTTATTAATAGTCATTTTCATATTATTAACAGTCTAGTCGTATAGCATACATAGTAAAACCAGTAAAAAGATTAGAGAAGGAGACGAATTCAAGATTGCATGAAATTATCCCCACACCAAAAACAAAACCAAAAAAATAGAACGGTTCAATGAACAAAATCCACCATGTTACTCAACCAAGCAATTGTTATTTAGAATAAAATTGAAGGAAAGAGAGCTGGTATTAATAATAGTGATAATATTAATAATAACTTTAATTAGATATATCTACAAAGTTGCACTGCACCATTAGGCGTGTAGTTATTTCTGAGGTGATGTGGAATAAAGGTCGTCAGTGAGTGAGTGTTGATCAACTCAATCATTAATAGGATTGATAGTTATATGTGTACGTCCCCCAGTAACCTCCAACCGTTTGACGTCTGAACTATGTATAGCAACATATTACTCATTAAGAAATATTATACAAGTATTTATAATTCAAAGTAAGGTAATGGACAGTTGTTATTAGTATGAACACTATTCATGGGCATAATTCTTCCTCTCTCACTCCGTGTGTGCGTTTGTGTTTTTGAGGGATGGTTGAGTCGGAGGGGTGGGTGTGTGGTTGAAGGAAGTATACGCATTATTTTGAGGAGAAAAAACGAGAAGAAGAGGAAAGAGAAAAAACAATTGAAAAATCCGATCAAAGTGATCACAGAACGGATCAAATAAAAATAAAAATCAATACGCATATTTATTATGAATATATATATATATATATGTTCTATTCATCTATGCATATATATATATACTTTTTTCTCTAATATTATTATAATAATGATTATTTAAACAAAACTTTGTTCATTTTTTTTAGGTGTAAAATGTTTTCGAAAGAATTTCATTACACTGTTAGCAGGTGATTTCAACGCTGTGATTGACGATTTATGCTTTGGTGAACTCTGTGAAGATTTTCTCTGTTGTGCCATTCGATCAAGGCGTGCACGTTCCTTTTGAACATTTCTTTGTTGTTCGTGTATAGCTATGAGTATACCGACTAATAAATCATTGACACGATGATTCAGTGTAGTAGATATTTCATGAAAACTACACGAATAGATTTGAGCTAAATTTTTACCATCTGTTTGGAGAGAAAAGAAAAGAAAAAAGAAGTGAGAATAATGAGGTTTTTGTTTTATGAAAATATTTTGGTCATGTACCAAAGGAAGATATTATGTTATATTATGTATACACAGCTATTTTGTTAAGACGAGGCCATACTCATGCCTTTGAGACAGTTCATTTCGAATACTGACGTCTATGAAAGATATAATTATTATCATTACTATTGTTTCCTTTAGTTCCTAGAGAAACATAGGGCTTCAGCCACGCGTCTCCATTGCGTTCGGTTCCCTGCCAACGTTTTTACCTGGCTCTACGTCTGCTCACATACTTTCATCTCCTCTTCACAGCATCTCCTCCTCCATGTCACCCTCGCACCGACGACCAACTCGCCCCTTACCGTTCGAGTTCCACCCGGGAGCCTATATTGTGACGTTACTTAGTGATGGTTTGTTTTCTCAGAGTATGGTCAGCCAATCCAACTCCACTTCTTCCTGCTTATTTGTTGCACAATTGGTTTCTGCCGGGTCGGTTCACTCCCTGTTGCTGATCTTTTATGGTTGGCCATCTGATCTTGAGAAGTACTGAGCGAAGAGAGGTGTTCATGAAGGTCTGAAGTTTGTTTGAGGTGCTCTTCATGACGCGCTGGCTAAGTCTCTGATCCGTATGGTAAGCAGCACTGACTACACATTGGAGTTGAAAATCCGTGTCTTATTTTGATCTCTTCTATGAACATATAACTTACATGATATGAATAGGAAGCACCGCTTATCATTAATTCATGGAAAACGCAAAAAACTGCATCAACAGTGCGTTTAAGCTGTATTTAATCCGAATGGTCCGTAGAAGTATCTTTTAAAATAACGTCAATGCAACTGCGAGTGGCAATTACTACATTTACTAATTAGATCGGAGAGAATGCTATCAAAAATTCATTCCGTTTGAAGTGGAACTTCGAACATCAAAGTTTTACATTTCATGAACGGTATTTCTATTCACTGAGTGAAATCGCTAACCTATCAACCACGCCTCTAGCTTATTGGGAAAGAGGTGAGATTTAGAAGTGCATTGGTCGTAAATCTAACCAGGTCTCTTAAGTTACTTTTATTCATTTAAGTGGCAAGCTAATGTTCCTTATCACACGGCATAGCCTCTTGTATTCTGAAACCGAAGTTCTGGGAATATGTAGTTTGCCTTATACGTGACTTGAAAGGTTACAGGATCTTTGGTTTTAAAGTGAATTACCGAGAAGACTTTTCCAGCGTTGATTTGTGTAAGTTTAATTAATTTCAAGGTTTTATCATAAACTAATCTCAGCCAGAGAACTATTGAAAAGGAAACAGTACTAGACAGTCGTTTCGTCCTGGTTTGAAACTAATCAACACTTAAAGATTAATTTAACGCTTTTTCGTAACTGAACACACGGCGAAGTCAGGTGTTGTTTCAGTCGGAAGTCGTGACCAACGAGGTCCACCAAGCTGAGTGTGAGAAAAAAAATACTCAGCGATGACATAAGCTGGCGATTATGCTATACACATCTGAAATTAATAGAGGTTAGAATTTACGGGTTACGATGGTTGAAAGGTCAGAGGTATCATTCTCGTGGCCTAAAGGTTCTAGATTCGATGCGAAAAGATTTTGCAAAAATAGCACAACTAATTATTGTAAAAAGAAAACAAATCATTATATCAACTAATTTAAATTATCCATCGAACCATTGGACAGAATTGAAGGCGGTAGTTTGAAAAATTTTGCGCGGCAAATACAAAGTATGACGATACAACACTTTGAAGGATAATTATTTTATCCGAAAATATATATCATATAAGGTGATTGTTAAATGTTAAACGCATCGTCATCGTCATTATGAGCGATATCATAATCATTGTGTGACAAGGGAAGTTATCATATTTCCACAGGATACATATATATATATATACATATGTGTTCAGGGAAAACTAACACTTTACATATTTTGTTCGTTTCAATGTTCAATTCCAAAAACTAACAACAGATATATAAATAAATAAATAAATAGAAAAAAGATGTTTTCTTGTCAAAGAATCAGAGATATACACAACTGGAAAGAGAAATTGTTTTCATATTCACTAATTAAATTATTATTTATGTCATTTTGATGTCATAGTGTTTGTATATGTGCCTATGAGGGTTAGAGGCAATAGCGAATCTCTAATCCTCTCGATTCTCTTCCTTCATTTTCTTGATTGGCTAAAAGACTGTCCACAAGTTTCCATTTCCATTTCACATGATCATCTCTGATGTGAAATTCGAACGTCCAACCTGTGGTTATTAATCCAAGTTCTACTCAAGCATCTTGCATAAAATTTCATTTGAGTGCTGAAGAAACTTCCCTGGTATATTAGAATTTAATCGGTGGATGGTGACTAACAGTGGAATCCAGGATAATGCGCATTTCGTCCTGTTTGAGACTCGTCATCTGGATGTGCCTGCTTTTCGCAGTGAGTGATGATGTTTCCAACGAGGCTTGAACCCAGTGCCCATAGTTTCAAACGCCAAAGCGTTATTCACTAGACCACCCGGGCCACGAGAGCTGACCACCTCATATACAACGGGTCATATTAATTATTTAATTGAATTTTAGATTTTCCTGTCGATTGATTGGACCGAAGTGCTAAGTTTCTGGTTGACCAAATAGGACGAAATACGCATCCTGGTTTCCAATGCTAGTCACCATCTACCAATTAAATTTTAATAACATACCTAGATATCGTCGAAGCACCTGCACAAGAAGCCGAAATTTCAACCCGAGATCAAGCACTTCGGTCCAGTCAAGTGACGGGAAAATCTTAAATTCAGTTAAATTTCCTGGCATATGTCCAATCTATCAACATTTCCTAATAAATATTTGTTGATTGACAGTTTATTGAGTAGTTCTCCGACAACAAGAATTCTTCTTAGATAGCACTGAGCGGAAGCAGCTGTTGATGAGAGTTTGAAATAGTGTATTGGAAATGTTTTCGGTGGCGCAGGCAGCAAGTATCTGACTCACATAGAAGCCCTGAGATAATTGGCTTGAAAATCGTCCCTTGTGATGACTATGATTGTATTCTTTTATTTTCTGTGTGAATTATAGGGTTGTGAACTTTAGTTGCGGGATGGGTTTGCTAGCCTAGTGCTAAATTCCACTCTTTTTCGTACTTACCACTGGCTAAGTAAGTTTTTGGAGTTCAACGGCTGGCGATCGAAGCCTGGATCATGAACTACCAACGGAGTAAGTAACTATATCGCCAGAGAGTGATGCTCTTCCTCCACTGAGTTTCAAACCCATCAATCGATTTGCGAATAGTGAAGGTTAGTTTTGCTTCCTCAATCCTTTCTGGCTTTGACATCCTCATCCATGCAAGCCGTATTCGAAATGATGCAGTTGATTTCGTTTACTGATGGTAATTGCCCTTTGTTGTTGACTGTGTGTCTTGATTATTACTGTCTTCTCCTTGTTCAAATGAAATCCTAATTTCACTGTCTCTGTAGCCAGTTTTTTTACATTGTCGTTTGTATATCTTTGAGTTTGTGAAACATGAAGCATAAGTCATCTGTGAAGTTCATATCTTCTGGCGTTTTTTTATAAGTCTAGATATCTCAGTATGCCACACTTTGTTTCAGTGTTTATTTTTGAAAAATAAATCCAGAAGAGTTCAGATAGAAACGTCGGTTAATCTATTTTCAGGGTTGTGATATATAGACACATAAACAATGAACTATCCTTTATTAGTGATAAGCTGACCATGGTCAGTCTGGAAACAAACCAATCAGAATCGGCCTACGTAAGTGATCGATGTCCAGTCTGAGAATAAGCCAATCAGAATTAGTCTACAGAAAATAACATCTACTATTTTATTGGTCATAATTATAGACTAAATGATATATCCTTGGTGACTTTTTGAATCAGACATTAATGTGTAAAATCTACTGTGGCTGATAGTGAAATAAACTTTTTGTTTCGCGTTATTGTGCGCTCTTGTTTAAGCAGAGCAGGCTAAGGAACAGGTAGCTGTCATATAATGTTTTTGGTGTAATCAAGCAGTGTCCGTGATTAGGTCATCTGTGTCCAACTAGAAGTCCCTGTTTCAAATCTCAGTGTTACGGCGAAATATTTTACTGGTGACATTATAACGGGTTGGTTACCGAATAACAGTGCTAACTAACTTTATAAACGTTGGGATGTTGGTAATTCCTAATTATCTGGCTTCAATCCATAATCCTTTATACACATACGTCAACTTGGCATGTTTATCCTGTCATGTATCCCACATACTGTTCACTTAGAACTTCGCTACAGACATGAAGTTAATTGAAACAGTCTATGGTCTGGTCCCAAATGATTCTATCTGACGTCTTACTCGTAAATTATTACAAGTTTGTACAAAGACCCTATAAATAATAACTCTATATTGTAATTGTTGCACGAGTAATTGTATTAACTACAATTTTTTTTCAATTTCAAGTCAGAGGTCCCCAGGCATTTGTACCAATTCCAATGCAAATTTCTTCACTAACCAACATCAGACGGAGGGATCATTGAAAACCAGCAAGAGCTACTTGACATATGCTTCACCCTAGCCTGGGACTCTTCAGCATTGTGCACCCCTGATCCCACAGACGATTGATCCCAGCGCCTTCAAGTCAACAAGTGAATCCCTTGACAATTCAGCCAACTGTGTACGGATTCAAACGGCCTGAGAATTCAAACTTTGTCAGTTCATGGTGTGGTGCTACTGAGAACCAGTATCACGGATGAGCATCGGCTGCACCATAATATTGTCAACTCTAATAGCCATGACTTCTCCCTACAACTTCATGACACTCACCCAGTGAAATTATTCAAAAAAAAAGAAAAAGGAATAAGAAATTGAGGAGAAACAAAAAGTGGATGACAATTTCACTTACCTTCACTAGTTACAACACGTGTTCTAACCAAGTCAGATTTATTTGCTGCCAAAATAATCGCGCTGGACCGCTTACATTGACTTAACAATAAACCGATAATTTTACGTGCAGCATAAAATGAACTTCGATCATCCACTGCATAAATTACAAGATAAGCATCTGCTGTGTCTATGATCTAGTTTAATTGGAGAAAAAATTGTGAAAGACAAAGAGATTAGACAAAAAAATTTGAAAAAACACACACGATACAAATAAGAAATTATAACACACATTATGAAAGATAATTGTGAAGAATTGTGAAGTATGTTAAAGTATGCTTAAAACTGCTTCTTAACACCTGAATTATTCCTCCTGAATTAAATTTTGAGGTTTATCAGTGAAGTGTATTTACAAGTGTTGCATTAGTATGATGCTTAAATCTTCAACAACATGGTAGTGAAGTTAGGCAGTAAATAAATTATTCTGAATGTCAAAGATGGTCACAACGGCTTGATTGTCAGTTTTTCTGAAAGGTTACGGAGAGTTTACACGAGGTCATGACCCGTTCACTTTAATCCTCTGGAGTAAATTGGTGTATTGTAACTGGCAGGGGAATCTATGATGAGCATTTCGTCCTATGTGGAACTCGTCACCGGCTGGATGGGCTTGAATTGACCACTGAGTGATGTTGTTCCCACTGGGACTCGAACCCGGTACCCATCATTTAAGATGCCAAAGTGTTATCCACTAGACCACTTTGGCCAACAGCGACACCTCTTAGATGGTTGGAGGCAATCGGCTACAGAAAGCCCATTTGACCTAGGTTTCGTGCAAGCTGGCACTCACCACCAGTCAGGTAGGGCTTATCTGCAACCTTGAGGGAACAACTCATGTCCCTTTGTGAGATTTGAACGCACGTCATCAAGAGACGTTACCACTGAGCTGTTTGGGCTCGCGATTGACCTCATGTATGGCTGTTGTGGATAATTTGATTTGACACCAGTAACTAGTGTGTGCGATCTAACTAGATTGGCGGCTCACATTGCAAACCTGACTGATAGAATTCAGTCTGCACAAAAGAGAGGACTCGACACATCAAACTAGTTACTACTGTCAAATCAAAAGTGACACCTTTTGTTCAACGGATGTCAGTACTAGTTATATTTAAATTCAATTTTGTTTTTCCCTTTGATTGATTGTACCGAAATTGTATGGCCTTTGTGTTGACATGTTGGTTCTTTTCGCTGATGCCTTGACATCGCCACGCAACGCCTAGAAGATGGAAGTCTCCAGAAGTCAATTTATCGAAAGCCTACATGCAGAAGACAATACTTACATTTTACTAGTTTTTCTCCAAACAGCTTTGAACGTGGACTAGTCAAGACTGTATACTATATAGCTAGGAGAATATGCTCTATGGAGAAATTAGAGGAAGAATTTATGTCTCTCAAAAAGATGTTGAAAAGCAAGGTTCATTAACAATTACGGGAGATCTCAAAGTTCAGATATCAAGCAAATGACAGTGGAGGAAAAGCCCATCTACATTCATCTTGATTCTAAAGGTGAAAATATTACGGTGATTGTCAACAGAAGATTAAGAACGTCACTAGGCACAGCCTATCCTGCAGCCAAGCTCGTTCCCGTCTATCAAACAACTTGCTCTTTGGTGCAATCAAAAATCGATAGATATCCTTCTCATGTTAACGCCAACTGTATATACAAATTTGCATGTATCTGCGGGAGCAGTTAAATTGGAAGAACAAAAAGAAAGGCAGAACTCCGATTTTCTGAACATGTACCAAAAAGCCTATGTCTAAAGGGAACAGATAGTTTAAACAGTGCCATCGCCAGGCATCTCCTTTATATGAGTCATGAGGTGGACGTCACAAGGTCGTTGAAAATTATCAGCAGGCGAAACAGCTCAATTCTCCTCAAGTTTGTTGAAGCCATCTCCATCAAGTGCTTGAAACCTGATTTATGCGTTCAGAAAGAAGCAGTTAGCAGTCTCTCCTTGGCCTGGTAACTGGATATTTTCACCTCTCTTTCATCTGATTACGTAATGTCAAAAGTTTCCATTGTGTATGATCATTATTGTTCGGAATATTGTTTAATATTACATATATATATATTTATTATTATTACTGTGGGCATATATTGATTGATTTTTGTTTAAAAATGAACTCTGTACAAGTATGTTAAAATTGTTTCTGTAGATATATTTAATAGTGTCTTTGGCCTGTAAGCAGCTGACGAGAAGCCAAAGAAATAAGCAATAATGATACCATTTATTCTGCAAAAACTGTCACTCTTAGTTTATTTGAATTCATTAAGGCGAATGAATGTATGAAATTTCTGAAGTAATTTGATAGATAACGACTAACAGTGCATAAAAGTTTGTCGTTTGAAACGGTAGATATCGGGTTCAAGCCTAAGCGAGAATACAATCACTCACTGAGGAATGCAGGTACATCCAGTTGAAGAGATTCTAATAGGAGGAAAGTGCATCTTAGATTCTTCTGCTAGTCACCACCCAAGAAATTAGTTGAAGTTAATACTTAGAAATAGTCAAAGCATATGCACAAGAAGCCAGCATGTCAACATGGGCAGAACATTTCGGTCCAGTGAGTCAGCGGGAAAATGAAAAGTGAATTAGAAATAAGTAGTAAGTCTGACCATTAGCCTAATAAATAAAGTTTTGTTGAAGCACTACAGGTGGTCCAGGTGATGACATCATAGTCAGTCAGGATAGGAATGGCGAGGCGGACAGAATTACTAACTATAATCTGTGGGAACAAACAACCAAGAGCCGATCGCTCTACAAGTATGCAGGAGAAAATGGAGATGAGTCGGTCGGGTATATGTTGAGAAGGCCGTCGAATGACATCGCTCTCAGATCAGGCCTTCGCTGGAGTGGAATCTAGATCGAAGCAACGAGTGGGTCTTCAGTGTGAGAGTGACATGGTGGAGATCTCACGGCGAGGAGGAGATGAGAGATAATGTACAATCGTGACCGCAGCCAGGTGAAGAGGACTGCAGATAAGCCCCAGATCCTACTCGAAACCCAATAGAATAATAATAATGTTCAGATCTTTAATGTAATTTATATTTCACTTGTGCTGTTTACGTTGTAGGCAGTTGAGAAGAATCCTCGAAATAAGAAAAAGATGAGCTCATATCCTCCTGGTATACATTTTCCATTCTTGGTTTCATTGAGTGGCAAGAATGTTGTGAATCTCCTCTAAATTCCCACAAGTGAACACGTCTTTCATAACATATCTCTTCTGTTTAACAGTAGCACACACAATACACTACTGAAGAAGGTGTGGAAAGAAGGCAAAGTACCCGAGGATTGGAAGAAGGGATACTTCTTCAAACTACCAAAGAAAGGAGACTTAAGCCAGTGCAATAACTGGCGCGGAATTATGCTCCTGTCTATCTCAAGCAAAATACTAAGCCGCTTCTTCTTGAAGGAAACTAAACACGCTCTGGATGAAAAACTTCGACCGGAACAGGCTGGATTCAGGAGGAACAAATCATGCATTGATCAAATCGCCACATTACGGATCATTATTGAACAAAGCTTGGAATGGCAGTCACCTCTCTATCTCAACTTCATCGACTTTTAAAAGGCCTTCGAAAGCGTCAATCGAGAGGTGCTTTGGCAACTACTTCGCTACTATGGAGTGCCACCGACAATTATACATCTCATCCAACAGCTATACGACAATGCTGCATGCCAAGTAATCCACAACAGGAAACTTACGGAATCCTTAGAAGTGAGGACAGGAGTGAGACAAGGCTGTCCCCTATTGCCAACGATTTTCCTGATTGCAGTAGACTGGATAATGCGACAAACAGCGGCCAATGAGGAAACAGGCATAAAATGAACTCACACAAAAAACTTGCAGGATCTGAACTTCGCCGATGATATATGTCTGATTTCCCACAAACTGAAAGACATGCAAGCGAAAAGCAACAAGTTAGCAGAATAAGCATCAAAGATAGGACTTCACGTGAACATAGATAAAACAAAGGTGATGAAAATTCCGGGACAACACCACCAACAGCGACAAGAACAACTGAAAACAATCAGCATGAATGGAAGGAACCTGAAAGAAACAACCTCTTCCGCCTACCTACCTGGGAAGCATCGTTTCAACTGCAGGTGGAACTGACGAGGATATCAAAGCAAGAATCCGAAGAGCGAGACAAACTTTCGTTACTCTCAAGTCTATGTGGAGGTCAACAGCACTCAGCATCAAAAATAAGATCCGGATCTTCAACTCCAATGTGAAGTCAGTGCTACTATACGGATCAGTGACTTGGCGCGTCATACAGAGCATCTTCATCAACACCTGTCTTCGCTCAATACTGAAGATCAGATGGCCGGCCAGAAAAGATCAGCAACAGAGATCTTTGGCAATGAGCGAACCAACCAGGAACCGATTGTGAAACAAATAGGCAGGAAGAAATGGAGGTGGATCGGCCATACTTTGAGGAAACCATCAAGCGACATCACTAGACAAGCCATTGCTCGAAAGGGGAGCGGCGAGTTGGTCGTCAGTGCAGGGGTGACTTGGAGGAGGTTATGTGAAGAAGAGATGAAAGCCTGTGGGCAGATATGGAGCCAGATAAAGAAAATATCTCCATCTTCTAACAGACTTTAAAAATTTTTTAAAACAAACATTAAACCAGAGAGAAAACAAAACATTAGGTGGAGGAGGAGGACGTAGGGGAGAAATCCAGTAAACTTACTAAAGCGTTCAATTCTTCGTCGACATCATCTGCATTGATATCTGTCTCCATAAATATTAGACTGGCTTTCAAATTGTTAATTTCAACTCGAACCGGATTCAATTGTTCCTCGTCATGAACTAGATTCAAGATCAAAAATGCAAACAATGAAAATAGTTATTAATAAGCATCCAACATGGATATATGATTATGCAAGATAGTACGTAAACATATATGAATCAAGGGAAGAAAGTGACTCTGAGTATATGTGTGTATGTGTCTGTGTGTTGCTATTATGTTAGAGGCATTCTACTGATTACGATCAAAACTGACTATTTGTAGCCCTGCTGCATAGTTGACCAAAGCTTCCTTGAGACAAGCACACAGTCACAAAACGCTCCACTGACAGCAGAAAGACGTTATTCATCAACAGATCTATGCGGTTCTATTTAGCAAAATTACCTCAACAGTGCCATAAGGTAGCCAGCTAAACAGTCGAGAGAACACTCTAAGTACAAAACAGGCACTGTAGGACAAGACTAATTGATTGATATTCAATCGATCCAACGGCCAGTCAATAAAATTCTAACTTTTGGCATTTCATGACCTAGCAACACCATTTCAAAAATGTCTTCTTCGAGTAGTAACTGTTCTCATCTTCGACCTACTGTACCCTACTGGTCACGGCTTCCCGCTAGAATTCATGAACCAATGCATCTGGTCTCAGTGGTTTAATGGTCTACGAATGCTTGCCTTGTAACCAGGGGGTCCTGGGTTCGAACCCTGACTTTGTGTGCGTACCGATGAGGAGTCCAAAACTAGAACGAAACTGCTGTTTCCATTTGTTCTCTAATTGCTGAAATCCTTCAACCAACATAGACCAATACAAAACGCTCCAAAAGTGAGCAAAAGGACGGTTATTCTTCGTTGAATCCATGTGTGGTTCTACTCAAAAAACTCAAAATTACCTCAACAGTGTCGTAAGACAGTTATATCTCTAATGTAGGTTTCAAAACACAAAACAAGTACTGTAAAAAAATTTCTTCTCATTTCTTTTCATTCCTTTACGTTCCATCAGTGGGACATAGGTCTTCAAGCTAGAGGCTTGAAGTTTCGGTAGCAGTGGTGTTTATTTTTACGAGATAGGGTTGATGGCCTCATGCCCAACCTTCCTTCTTTATCAGTCTTATTTATTACTGGCTTAACGCGGCAAAGGAGTACGTCTACAAGAATCACATACCAAATGATTCCCACTTATCATGATAACTACTCAGTTAAACAAAATGGAAGTACAAGAGCCTGTTAAAATGTGCACAAGGGATATATTAATGAATGTGCTATGGTACAAACATTCAGTTCTGTTGGCTAACAGATATCCAGAAAACTTCATTTCATGAGATTGCCACCTGAAAAGATAGATTCCGTATCAATGAAAGCTGTCTCTTTGTCTTAGTGGTCTTCTCTGAACTGGTTGAGAAGACAAGTAAGTCACAATCATCCATATATATCCCCACTTCCGACCGGATGAATAACTCAGGTCACCACTTCTCACTAGAATTAACTCCAGATATCTTCAAACCTTTAGCCAGTCACTAACAAGTCTACATAACATCACGAAGTGGTAGAATTGATAAAACTGCATGGGATGGTCATTGAGTTGGATCGCAGTGGCTCAATAATCTGCAAGCTTGACTTGTAACCGGAGGAAGATCCAGGGTTCCAATCCCAGTAGATTGGTGATTTTATTTTTTCTGACAGAGTAATTATCATACATTTTATTTTAATATTTAGTGAACCATGACAGTTGTAAAGTGATCATAGAGGGACTACCAAAAATGATATCATCTCGTGATGCTTGTCTTATAAATGGCCTATTTAAATTTATCAAAGGGACTAACTGTTTCAACATGTATTATTGAATAATGATTGATTGTACATCTGAAAATGAGTGAATTGACCAAAAATGAATCTTCTCTTCTCTGAAGTAAGTCAGTGGTACAGTGGTAGGATACTCGCCGACCATGTATGTGGTCCGGGGTTCGATCCCCGACCACAGACGCACTCCTTTACCTCACTAAGCCAGTAATGAAGCTGGTAAAGAGGAAAGGTTAGACATGAGGCTGGCAACCCCATCCTGTAATAATAAACACTGCTACCAAAACTTCAAGTCTCTAGCCTGAAGCCCTATACTTCACTGGGAACGTGAAGGAATGGAAAATAATAATAATAATTATAATTTGCTTTATTCTAGAAACTTTATTAGTGGTACAGTGTGGAATTTTCAGCACATATCTACAATATTTCCATCTAATTTTATCAAACATTTAAAAGGAGTATTTCAAAAAGATAATAAATATGAAGACACCAACAGCAAAAAAACGGGAAAAACACAAAATAATTTTTAAAAAGTTCGGAAAAGATACCAAAAAGTAGAAAGGAAAATAAACAGCGTTTATTAATAACTCAGTATTGGGTAGTGGAAGCTATGATATGATTATGCATGGTGATAGTAAAGTTATAGTCATACAAGAAGTTTTGAAATGATATTTAAAATATCTGGTTGAGTGCTTTTTGCGAATGCAGAAAAGATGAGCATCTCTGCACAGTAGTTTTATTTCACACTCTACATCCGATCTATAGATCAAACACACAGATCAACAACCAAAAACTGGCCAACGCCGCACAAACACACAGAAACACTGGCTGTTATCAAGGAATAACCCAATTAGATAACCATGCAAACCATCTGAGAGTACTGGACAGCTTTTTTGTCCTCGTTTGGGACTCATTGGCAGCACGCACCCATCGAGCTGGTTTCGAACCCACAACCCTCCGTTTACAAGGCAAGTTGGTAGACCATTCAGCCACTGAGACCCAATTCAATCGCCAACACATGAATTCTAACTTCTACCACTTTGTGATTTTAGCGCGACCACTAACCAATTTCATCGTTGGATGGATCCCACTGGTCAAAAATTCTCAGTAGAACTCCAGGCAACTTCGTTCTGTAGCCAGTAACTACCAGGCATCAGATTAATTTTCAGGAACTGGTTGTTTTTGTAAGGATTCTATTTTTTTCAGGTGAGACCATGGAATACTACTAGCCAGAGAGAGAGAGCGCGCGCCTATCAACCCCTAGAAACTGATTTTTGAAAATAACCCAATTATCAAACTTTCAATAGTCTGTCAATCATTCCAACCGTTTCACGGTTCACATGACATCAAACAGAGCGATTGTGTTTTGTACAGCTAACATTTCTATAAAATAAATTCTGTGTAGCACAAAAATTTCTCTTTTTAAAAAAAAAATGAAATCTTGACACATGTGTCTTTGGTAAAAGCGACTGTTATTCATCTGAATATGTGAACCAGTTGCCAACACCAATTAACCAATCAGATTAAACAGAATGTCTCCAAGTTAAGGAGTGAAGAGGAATTACGTAACATGAGGTGATTGATGGAATAATCATCAGAGTAAGGACGAATAGTTACCTGGAATTTCTGGTAAAAAGCATTCAAGGTGCATAATTAAACAAAGAATACATAATTATGAATAATCACAACAGATAGACGAAGAGGAGTTAATTAATTATTAGTTAATCAAAACTCTGTTACATTCTTTACTGTCTTGTTCGCTTGACTTCAAGACAAGCCGACTTCATCTCAGATGATGAAGTCTTATTTATCTTATTTAAGCAGTTCTGTCATCACATAGACTAAAGGTTTATGCAGATTGATTGGAGGATTTCCTTGTGAGTTGAACCGTTGGAAAACCTTGGGGTACTGGACATCTGTTTCGTTCCACGTTGGGACTCTTCATCAGTACGCCGAAGTTAGAATTTATAGGTTGTCCAATGAATCGGGTCCCAATGACTTAATAGTACGCGAGCTAGCTCGCCTTGTAACCAGAGGGTCTTGATTTTGAAGCCCTTGTGATGGGTGTGTACTGATGAAGAGTACTAAACCAGGAGGAAACAGCTGTTCTCCAACTCAGCTCATGATGAAATCCCTCAGCCTATCAAACGGCAAAAATCCTCATAAAACCAATACTTGAAAATTTACGCAGATGTTTATCATTTCTATCTGGTGAATATATATTTCACAACATATAAACAATGAAATCAAGGCGGAAGTGTTTGATAACAGTCAGATATTGCTGTGTTCTGTGACCCCTTTCAAATGTCACCAAGGAAAATATTTAGATTACACTCTTACATTCTCACCTATTGATGAAGATATCGTTTTTAATAAGACCCATCAATTAAATCTTCTATTTTAAAGCTTAGAAGTGTTATCAAGTATTTATGATTCTTGAATGTTAATCATAGGCCACAGCTTAAGTTAACAGTATAATTCATATGCTCATCAACTGATCTTTGAAGGTACGGTAGCAATAATGTTGTTTCACTTATCTGGAGAGCATTGTTTCAACCACAGGTAGCACGAATATGGATGTAAAAGCTAAGATCAGTGTAGTGATCTACAGTATTCAGGAAAAAGAATATGATCCGAATTCTTACCACTAATGTCAAGTGCCTCAGAGACTTGATGCGCACGTCACCGAGATCATCTGCCTTCCCACCACACTAAAGGTTGACTTGAAAGGGTAAGCGACCAACAATCTTATCGATATGCAGAAGGGAATTATGAGGAATCGGCGATATTTCGTGGAAATGGATTTTCAAGTGACAGGCCGTCACTTGGTAAGCAACATAATTAGGATATTCCTGGGCAATATTGAGGCAGTTAGGTGACAAGTGAAGGGAAACTAGTGAGTTATTGTCGAGCCAGCTGAAAGTGATTGCATACAACTGAATACAATCGCGATAAACCACTAAAGTCTACTTTTGAGACTGTTAAATTTCCCTATTCCACCTTGAAACAACAGAATACACATACAGTGGAACACACTTGAATGGCGTTTGATTACTATTCCAGTACAATAAAAATGGAACAGCACTAAAAAACTGACATCAGAAGGCAGTTAAGTAGGTAGAGTGTTGAAAGACGGGAGAATTAAAATGAAACGCAAAAGTTTGAAAACACATTAGCGGATTTAACCTGATTTTGTCTAAATTTCCTCTACATAAGTTTCAGTTTGCTGTTTTCTGTGTGCAGTGGTGAATTCCTTAGAATGGTT